AAAACAAAATCCTCAAAAATCATAAACCAGTTTTATTTAAACAAGGTCAGATCACAAGCCAACGACTAAATATGATTTGTTCACAATCTACATGTATGTGTGTCACCAAAAGAGTTAGGAAATGAATGGAATATAGCCAAGACCCAGGATCCATAAACAAGAAACCATTTAGATTATGAAAGCATCTGTCTGGCAGAAATGAAGAAATGAGCCGTGTAGACACAAATTTTTTACTGTTGTTCGTAAGGAAAGACTAATAAGAACACCAGGGTCTTTTGAGAAATCATTCCACAATTTTGCAAATGCAAGGGGAACAGGAAAGAGCTCATATGCAAACTCACAAAGCTGAAGTGGTTTGTTGCAAGCCATCTTAAATGCCTTTTTCTCCTTGGAAAGTATCAGTGTTGGAAATGACCCCAACAATATTTCAGCCATGAGCATCAGCTCCAAATTCACCTCATCCCACTTGCAGCAGGGCTGAGCCTACAGTAGCAAACTACGGCATCCACCATGTACAGCCTTGCAGCATCCAGTGGGAAAAGACAGGAGCAAGAGACAGCACAGTATGTGGCTGCTGATGTAAGGAACAGGAAAAGAAAGAAAATCACTGCTGCTCCTCCCTTTCCGCAATATAAGATTTGGGGGAAAGCTTTCCTCCCACTCTACAGTTTCAGCGTAACTTTTACATTTTTCAGTGACAGCAAGTAAAAGCAGATCTGTCCTATGAATATGACTGAGCTCCAGACAACTGCCTGCTATCTACTTACAGTGTGAAATATTCATTAAAAATCAACCACCAATCGACTGTTAAGGGGTCCATCTTGATAAATGCTAGACAACAGATGAAACCAAAAGAACTTCACAGTCCCCCTGCCTTGCTGAATGGGGTCATCAGTCATTTTTAAGTAGTCATTTGTTACATTGTTTTATCCAACTAATTTATAATCATAATGAATTAAGACAAAACATTAAACTACAGCGTCTGTGCCTGAGAGTAATCTAAACTGAAAAGCACATGACAGAAAGATAGACTGATGGTCAGTGCAAAGTAATTCCCTTGAGATTAATATTGACGATTCTAGTCAGAATTATATTCCAAGAATCAACTGAATGATGCTAGATGAGAATAACCCCTTAAGAGCAGCCACTTTCTTTCTAGAAAAACTGCATTTGTTTGCAATACAGAGGGGACAGCTGACAAGAAAAACCAAACATATCACCACACTGTTACCACTATCCTGACTATGCAAATAAAACCAAAAAACTTCCTTGAAACATTCTCAAATACATTAAAAAAAATGTTTTTTTTTTTATCATGACCAAACTTTTAAAAGCATGAAAAGCAAAAAGATGAAGTCCAATGAATCCAAACTCCACACAAAACTTAGAGTAGATCCTGAGTCAGATGAAATGACCCAGGGGCTTGCCCAGCATGCAGTAGAGCATGGGGTACAGCCCCAGGCCCTGCCTGGCCAGCAGCTAGCAGCTTCTGCACCCTCCCATGCCACCTGCTCCACGCAGGAGCCAGAGGAGGTAAGGCAAGGGCACATAAGAGGTTGGGAGACTTCTCAAATGGCATTGGCATTTGACAGTTCAAGAAATACTTCCTTGAGTCCCTTCCTCTAAATAACTGAGCTAAAGTTTGCTCTTGGTTGGTATGGTTTTGTTTTTTTAAAGACATGACACACTGAAAATTAGGAGTCCTCTTTACACCATTAAACTCAGTGCTGTTCATCACTTTTCCAGCATTAAATAACTCAGAACATCATTAAACCTGATCAACCAGACTGCCTGGTGTTATTTCTAGAAGCCGTTCATGAAACTACAGTGTGAGTGGTGTGATTGCACCCATGGCCACTCATTAAGTTCAACCCAAATCTATACAACCTCTTTTTCCCTTTAGTTTTGCTCTCTGACCTTCTTTCAGTCCTCTTCACTTGGTTTTGAAGTCTTGATTTTTACTTTGCCCAGAACCTTTGAGCTATAGTTTTTCTCTGTCAATTACCCATTTGCTTGCCAACTCCTACCCAAGTCTCACCCCCCCACACCCCCATTCAGCCACTGTACACTGAAAAACAAACTTTAAATATCTGATTCAACAGACGAATGAACCTCTGGAGGCAGCTGTCAGTATCACAGGAAATGAAGAAGCATCATAAGCTGCATGCATTCAAAATGCATGCATTTGCTGTCAAATTTATTTCTTTTTTCTGCTAGGTATCCATCTAACCTCATTTTATGAGGCAGAAAGAATTATGTTCATTTTTCCTTCATCAGTTGCATATATGCTTAGATGTCACTTATTTATACAACACCATGTTTACATACATTTTGAGGCAGACGAAGGAAGACCTTAAATATACCAATATTATATATAGATAGTGCAATGCAAGTTGATTATACTCCCAACAATACACCAACATTTTCCTGGTAGCAGTGAAAAATCTTTCTAAACTAAAAGCTAAGGCAGGGTGCTGGCTGAAATCCAATCTCTTCCCTATTGGAGCCAGAACTTTATCAGCAGATCTTAACAGTGACCACAGAGAAGCCTTCTCCACCTCTATTGCTTAAGCTTTCTGGAATCATTTCTTCCCAGAAAAGCAATTTTTAGCCTCAAATTTTGAATTCCTCCATGTAACCACATTTTTTTTTCTTATTCAGTGATATGATTTACTCACGGTACTTTCCTAGTATAAAAGACTACCAGCAGGATTCAGAGTCCTACATTTGCAAAGGCTGCCAAACAGAAAACATGCAAAGAAATAACTCAGTACCCCCTTCCTTATCTGTACATGTTTTGAGCAGTTTCCCCACAGTTACTGTGGGATGTTATCAGAAGGGCATGAGAGAGTGGAACTACGGCTTGACACGAAAGAGGTCACCCTGTTCTCCAGTCCTTCCTTCCTCATTCCACCACTCTTGTGTTAAAACAGAACAGCAAGAGCAGAGAGCAGAACAGCGGTACTGAGCTAACAGAGATACAGCTCTCATGCAATTACAGAAACCTGCAAAAAGGTCACATTCTTTCAAGAGTCTTTTGCTTTTGCTTGATCTGGAAGCCATCCCTCCTCTGCACAGTCTCTGGGCACAACAGCCACTCTCAAGAAATAAATCCTTAACTTTTTCTGCCCTGGTGTCACTTCCCAAACCAAATACCTAAGACATAGCCTGTCCCAGTTACTTCTCAATCCCATACAAAACATTACCACACAGTAGTACTGCTCTGTGCTGTCTCCTGGACAGCAAGAGTAGTCCATTGCAACAAAATTATATCCAGAGATGCCTTACAGATAATTACTTTAGCATCTTTACCCTCTCACACTTTTTGTCAGTGAACTGCCTCCCCGAGTTCATAGATACAGGATTTTATCACTGCATTTCTGAGACATGGAAGTAAGGTTTGGACAGTATCAGTTTTTCACTCTGCTATTCATAGCCAAGAGATCTGAGCAGGGAAGCGTTTGCTCTGCCACAACGCTGGCCCATCCCAAGCTATTAGACATTGGTATGGGCAGCAGCCACTGACTTGTCAGCAATCAAACCGAAGGGAAATTCCTCAACATTTTGTGCTCTTGTTTTAGCAGGCAACAACTGCTGTCTCATGTGGGCATATGGGCCCCTGACCCCATGGAAAAAAACTGTGTACATTACTGCACAGCTACTAATACCACTTTGTCTCTATCAGGGTTTAAATTTGGCTCTAAGAGGCTGGAGGTGTTGTCTGGGACCTACAGCATACAAAGCAGGATGGATGTTTCTGAAGGTTGTTTTGCTGGTTGTTATTTCAGGAGACAAAATTCAAAGACACAGATGATTGCCTCAAATTTCATGCTGCTTGTGAATTTGGAGGTAGCTGGAATCAGTATGTCCACTACCTGTTGTGAACACTCCAGAAGTTCACCCAAGAATGAATTACACTTCTGTATCCAGGTCAGTAGTTAATAAACTGTAAAACTTCTGAACCACTAAAAGCTTGATAAAACCATTGAGAAAAATAAGACACTGTCTTCTTGAACTACTTTGCTAAGTTAAAAGAACTGTAGGTTTACATTTCTTGTACCGAACTAATACTGTGCTTTTGAAAAAAAAAACAAAACCTGGGGTTTTTGCTGTTTTTTAGATTGTTTCCACCCCTGACAGGGATTCAGGAGTTGAAAGAAGCTCTCAAAGAAACAGGCTTCTCACAATAGCATGCCTCCTTGACTATTAGAGTCTTCAGAATGCTTTATTTAGCCAAGCTGCTGCACAGCATCCCCCTGGGCTGTGCCCTGTACCCCACTATACCACACCCTGCATCTGTCAATACAGCTCATTTGCTCTGGTGTAAATCCACAGGCAGTGCCAGCTGTGTTTAAACAGTCTTGGTGGGAATTGGTTATCGTAGCATGCCAGAAAAAAATTATCCTTTATAATCACCAATAACTTAAGATTGGCAGAGGTCAAGGCTTAGTGTATTAAAACTGTAACCAGTCATGGAGGTCCTCCAATAGCTTCTTCCTTTTTAACTATCACAGAAAATGCACAGTGTAAAACAACCTTCTCTCTTATCACAAGAAAACAAAGCACCAAGAAAACTTTCAAAGAGATCATCTCCTGTTTGACTTCTTAAACAATGTGCCATCTGAGTGTCACTCCACAACATATTAAGTGTCATAGTCAGTGGCTGTAATGGAAGACAACACCCTTCTAATTCTCCCTTCATCCTTGCATGGAAGAATGATGAATATCACTGTGTGTGAGCCCATTCAAACACCTGGCTTCAAAGGAATTGCCCATTTCCTTAACATACTCCTGGCTTTTCTGCTGAACATTCGGGTATTGGTAGCAAACACTGCACTAAGCCACAGCTATTAAGCTACAGTATTCCCCTGCCTAAAAGACAATACAGCATACAAAGCTCATGCCAGTTATTTAAGCTCTTCTGTTTTGTAACACAGCATAAATTTTTGATAACAGCATTAATACATATAATGCATATGGCTGTAAAAATGTCAACCAACTTTTATGGCTTTCCTCTTCATATGAATATTCAGTCATCCATTTGTCCTAGATCCACTTCAATCCTGAAAAAGAAAATATTAAATAATTTAGTTAGTGTATTTTCTGAGAAGTTCAGTAATTTCTCAAATATGTTGAATATGTAAATACAGAAAAATCTAACCACAGATATCAATTCCATAGTAATACAGAGGTCAGAAGAACAGTAAGTTTATAAGCACCTAAAACAAAAATGGACAAATATGACAAAATAGGATATTGAAGAGAGCCTTATGTTTCCTCTTAACTAATGATTTTAGTCAAAGCTCTGTGTTTATAACTTCTGAGCTGTTATTTCAGCTCACTATATGCTTTAATTAGTCTTCTGAGTCCATTATGTACCAGTACTCTGTGTTCACAGGTAAACCTTCCAGCAGCTACAGAGGGCAAACATTCTTTACCAGTATTTCCTACTGTATTTCCCAGAAATACTATGCACAATCCCAACAGTAATACATAAAAAACTGTCCAAGACCACTACAAAATTTGAATATGTATTTCTTTCAGGGTTTCCTATAGATATATGATTAGTTTAGTTATGAGGGCCACAAAGACAAACAGAGGGCTGGAGCATCTCTCCTGTGAAGAGGAACTGAGAGTTAGGGCTGTCCAGCCTGGAGAAGAGAAGGCTCTGGGGAGACCTTACAGCTCCTGCCAGCACCTAAAGGGGCTAAAAGAGAGCTGGAGAAGGGCTTTTTACATGGGCACATACCATAAGACAAGGTTTCAAACTAAATGAGGAGAAATGTAGATGAGATGTTAGAAATAAATCTTTTACTGTGAAGGTGGCGAGGCATTGGCACAGATTGCCCAGTGAAGCTGTGGATGCTCAGTCCCCAAAAGTGTTCAAGGCCACGTTGGATGAGGTTTTGAGCAACCTGACCTAGGGGGTGGAATCTCTGTCCATGGCAGGGAGGTTGGAACTAGATGAACATTAAGTCCCTTCCTACTCCAAACATCTGATTCCATGTTAATCTATAAAAGAAAAAAGCATGCAGAGATTCTTTGTGAATTCCTTGTTGACTCTTTTTTTCTATGTTTTGTGAGGCTCCTTCAGGATTAAGAAAATAAACAAACCCGGTAGTCCAACTTCTTTAAAAAGCCTTGGGGGAGAAAATCTTCAGATGTCTTAAACCCCTTGACAGAATATGTGCATGTATCTGGGAGCAAACACTACTTACATATGTCTCTCTTAATAATGGAAATGGTGTGAAGTCAAGAATCTAAATCTGCTGTCAGAGTTATTATAAACAATCTGCTGTTATTTTTCTACCATTCAAAACAAGGTCATCCTTCAAATACCAGCAGAACATCAGATGCCTGATTTTAAACCACATTCCAGTATTTCATTACTGCTGTATATATGACAACATGACAGGTTTCCAGATACTACACAAACTTTTAAGTGAAAAGAAGACAAGAAGCTCCCTTAAGAAAATATAAATAGTCCATTCATATAGTGTGCTACTATCATACTGACTAAACATCATGCATTCAGGTTTTATTTCTAAGAAAATATTAAGTTTGATAGAAGAAAGCAAGTTTCAAATATTTGTATGAATTATAGAAAGCTGCAAAATCACCACAAACACTGCCTTAACTAAATGTAACTAAATACCATAGCCTGTAAGCATGCTAACTGTTGTAGACCATTTGTGCTCTCTCATGCATCTTGTAGACTCTCTTTCCCTTCTGTTAATCTTCTTTGGCATTATTTGGATTACTTCAAAATTTCATGTAGTAGATTCCTTTTTTTTCCTTTTAAAACTGCACACTTGAAGAAACACCTTTGAGTTTCTCTCTGCTCTTTCCTCCATGCTCTTGTCCAAAAATGGGAAAATTGGACCACATTTTCCATATCTTGGACTTACATGATGTGGTCATCTAACCTGAACAGGAAATGACTTACTCATTTCCTTTTTTTAAATTAAATGCAATGTATCTAAAAGCTTTTTGGAGTCTCCATGAGAGGAAGACAGAGTTTGACCTGTAATTGTTTCCAGTTCTCCAGGTTTTCTCATCATTACTCCTCTCTACATGCACACAGACACACATATTCCTACAACACAACTTAGCTTCAAGTTACACACCAGCGCTGGAGTCCTATTATGTTACGGTGGCTATGGTGACACAGCAAACACGGGTCTGTGTTTCAGAACTAACAAACCACTATCCAAACCAGCCACAGCTGTAGCTGGTCTTGCCTTATTAAATCATGTCCAAGCTACCAAGAAAAGCTACTTCTTTAGCAATGACAAATAACTGGGTTTGCTTTTTAATTCTCTTCAGGTCTGCACAACTAACAAGCACTAAACTGCCCACATCCTTGCACCATTGGGGTGTTCTCCTCTACGGAAGGGCTTCTATTTTAGGCTGCTTTTGAGGAGATTTTTCCTCTGAAAATTACATTTAACTAGTAACTTTGGAAAATCAGGCAAAACATTTGCAAAGTGCTGAAAAGCTTTGACTTCTTACAAAAGGACTTTGAAATGCATATGAAAAAAGGGACCATCCATTCTGCCACACGTGTCACCATCATGACTTTGATTTTCAGTCCCTTACAGTGAAATGGTACTTTCTACTATCAGGAATATGAAATCCAACATTGAAGTCCAAGTAGAAACATCTTCCATTTGCATCAAGCAGGTTTTATAGCAGAAGAAAATCTACCCAATTAGACACCTGGACAATATTTCCGATTTGAAACCTTTAAGTCCAAAAGGCTCTAAGTAATCACAGAGTAAAGCACAAACCATCATTTTCAAACAAAAGAAAGAAATTTAAATAGCAAGCACAGAATTATGTCCTCTTCTACCCAAAGTAGGAAACACTTCTGTGTCCTCTTCTATCCAAAGCCTATCACCTTAAAATAGTGGTTTCAGACCCCAGGAGTTTATAAAGCTTGTGAATACCATAAAAGATCAGATTCCTTTTTCTAAAGCAAGAAAAAACCAAATAAATTTGGTTGCACCTAGTCCATTTTGAAAACTTGTCTTGATCAGATTAGATGTCCTGGTAGTCTCACCGTGACTAGTATTGGCCACCACCTGGTGGAGGTGAGCAAGACTCCTGGACCACATTAAGGAGCATGAGAAGAGTTTCACAATCATGCTGAGCATATTTCACGAAAAACAGAAGTCCCTAAGAGTGCAGAGGAAGCCATACCTTTACAAACAGAACACTTTTGAACCCACATTAGTTCATATAAAATCACCAATATAAACCCACATTAGTTCATTAAAAAAAAAAGTTTGCATTGGTATAATTTCTACTTATCTTTTACACACTGGTAGATTTAAAGGACACTCACATTGATACAGAAAAAATTACTCATTGTGCTGTTTTTACTCTTTTCTAATTCAGATAGGTATAGGAAAATGTATTTGGAAAACACCAACTTATTTCCAAAGTTAAGTCATTTGCTGAATCAGGATTTATTAACTTTTCTCTCTACAAAACAAACTCCTTATTTGGGCATAAGGGGGCTAGTCACCTTCTTACATCATCTATTTTATTTTTAAAGTATGCATTTTTCTTATTGAAAGCCCTTAGATCTGTATTTTGACTTCTGCAACCCCTTTCAAAAGGCCTGAGTCACACCAAACTTCCCCAAAAACACCATGACTTCTCCCAGACTCACCTAGACTACCCTGGCCATCAGATAAGGCAGGATCACTGAAAGCTCAGTTTCAGCACTATTCAGAGATGAAGGAACACAGGTTATCTTCAAACCAGTGTTAAGGATAGCTACCCTCGTAATAACTGTAGCCACACACTTGTCCTTTTTCCCTAAGTTTCTGACTCTTGCAGGGACATTCATAAACTCCATAAAGTGACATTTTGCACAAGCTACAGATAAAACATACATTAACCACAAGCTACAGAGCTGATCCACAACAGTCCTTAACATTTAAAACTGGTAAGGGATATGGGATGTTGGCATACAGTCCAGTACTGTACTGAGCATATCCCGACACCTTCAAGTGTCTCCCTTTCCTGACTTGGTCTGGTCCCCAGGACCTTTGTAAACTGAGCGCTGTAGATGAAACTAGCCAATACACCTGAGTGCTGTACCACTGTAACTGCAACTAGCCAATATGCTTTACCACAAAGCTGTCTGCAAAAAAAATTATTTTAAATTCCAACATAAGACACTGTCCCACCAGCAGTCACTACAAGCTGCATGACGAGCCACATAGTACAGCCTAAAAACTCACTCAGTTTAGGTTAAGTGTAACTGCAGACCTCACAAGACCGAAGGATCACTTGCTATGCATCCTAACAACTGTGATCATAAGGGTTATTCTGTTTCCAGCTGAAGTTTAATGCGATTGCTGTTCAAACAACATACAGTTACTTACTTTCAGATGCCAGCCCCCATGCCAACATCTTTGTTGCTCTGCTCTAACGTCCTAACAAAATACCTAAAGTTGCTCAAAATATTTCTGAAAATTACCTTAATGCTTCAACTTCTGGTTTTCAGATACTTTTAATAAAAGTAAAGAGAAGCAGGATGTATAGAGTGAGATGCTTGTTGCTAGGTGATACCTAGATCTCTTGAACTCCTAAAGACTGAAATACTTATCCAGACTCCCACAAAGAATGACATCTAGCACTGAGAAGAGACACACACATGTACTAAAGTACATTAGGATTCAAAGTAAGAAGCAGCAACTCTGTCACCTGCTTGGTCCCTAGGGCACCTAACATGAGGAGTCTGGGATGGGGGTGATGCACCTCCTCCTAAATACCTATCCCAATATTTGCTGAACCTTTATGGGACAATGCCTCCAATATATTCATGCCAAACCAGAATGATCTCAATGCCACTGCAATCATGGCAGCACAAGTAAATACAACCTTAGCTACCTGACCATATAGTAATGGTTTTCCTGATGCTTGGGGTACTTTTCCCCCAACCACTATATATGACAAGAGGTTTCCACAGATAGAAGCATATAGTAGGCCAAATGTGCATGAACAATTAATCAAACACACAACCATCATGCCATGTTCCTCCCACTCT